CTCTGACAGCCTCTCTCCCGTTGGACGAGTGGGATCTTTTCCCAAGTAGGGGATGGCATTACACATGTGTTTAGTGTCCAGATCCGCTGCAATCCAAAATTTGATTCCAAACTTGTCAGGCTTGGATGCCATGTATTGCAGAAAGGGGCAGCGAACCTTTGACGGAAACAACTGCTCATCCACAGTGACATGCTGTCCTGGACTGTAGGATGATATACAGTTCTGAACGAACTACTGCCAGATTTCTGAAATTGCAGCGAATTTGTCATTTTGTATGCGTTCCCTGCGGGTGTCCTCGTTGTCAAAGCGGAGGTATCGCTTTATTTCGTAAAATTGATTACGAGACATAATGGATTTGATATCTGGGGTACCAAACTTATTGGCCCACATGTCTCGCTTGGGACCTATGTAACTCAGCTCGTGGACAGTCATCTGCCAGTTGGGGTTGGTTCTGTGGCTCTCGCGGACTGTGTGTTCTCTGATGCTCAGCAATATGTTTACATCCACCAAACACAAGAAGCTTTGAAGGTGACTTGTGATTTTTCGTCTCACTGACTCTGTTGGCCTTCCAGATCCGTTGAAGGCAGTTTGTGGGGTTTCAGCAGCAATCAAGTCTCCAACTTTCCATTGGCACCAAACAGTGCCATCTTTCGCCCTTTCTACTGATCCAGGCGGTGTGGCAACATGACCAACTTTTTGTTTTTTACTTTGAGGAGGGTTGCCATACATTGTGTCTTCCTCTTCATCAGATGTGGCTAGTCCAGGGGTGGGCAAACTTTTTGGCTCGCGGGCCACAATGGGTTCTAAATTTTGACAGAGGGGCCGGACCAGAAGCGCAGATGGATGGAGTGTTTTGGTAACCCCACCTCACAGGAGAAAAAAATATATATCATGGGATATGGAGAAAACATGTGCTTTAATTTCAAATGAAAATGAACAAAAGCATTACAACAAAAGATCTGTCTTTAAAGCCCCACAGTATTTAGCTATTTATTGAAATGAGTCTTCAAACACTGAAAATTAAATGAATAAAAAATATTTTTTTTGTTACTAACAATTTCTATTTTAAAGCACTGCAAGTTCTGTTACCTTCAGGATATCATCATCACTCTCTTCCTGACTGTATTTATTTCAAAAACAGTAAGAGATTCAGATGTACTTATCCTGCTCCTTCTTTTCAGTTTGTGTCTCCAGTGCCAAAGGTCAACAATGATCAGCGCAAGGACGGAACATTGATAACGCGCCACTGTGGAGCGCGTTATATTTGATCTGGTGCACATTGTTTGTTTTGAGAACGTGCGTTCATTTGCGCACCACTTATGTGCGCTCCTTAACAGAAATGACATGTAACATATAAGGCTTACTGAACTAATTATTTTCCAAAGCATTTTTTGCATAATACAAAGGAGAAACTTTTACTTTCAGTGGGAACAGTGCTGTTGGTCCCCCTTTTTAGCCAGTGCATCAAAGTCTGGAGTGAGTTTAGTTGTAGCAATTCTCAGGATGGATCTGAGGTGTTGGTCTGTTAATTGGGATCTGTGGCTGGCCTTGTTGATGTTCATGATGCTGAACGTCTGTTCACACACGTAGGTCGAGCCGAACAACACCAGCATCTTCTGCGCTGTCCTCCGGAGATTTGGAAATGCGGCTTCATTGAGTGAAGCATAAAAGTCATTCGGTTTCAGAGAGTTGAACTTCTCTTTTAAGACTGGGTCGGACTGAAGTTCGATCAGTTCGAGCTGCAGCTCCCCTGGAGCTGTTTCGGGGTCTTGTGACAGGGGACAGGCCACCAACTGAAGTGACTTGTCAATTTTTTCAAAATCAGAAAACCGACGGCAGAATTCTCCATGCAGCGCATCTAATGACTTGCTGTATTTCTTCACTTTTGCGCCGGCCTCTTTCAGCGTGGCTAGTGTGGGAAAATGTGTGAACGACTTATTTAAAATTTGCCTGGAGAATAAAACCAGCTTGGATTTGAAGGCTTTCACGTTTGTGTACATGTCCTGCACAAACTGATCCTTCCCCTGTAGTTTCATGTTGAGCTCATTCATGTGTGAAAATACGTCCGCAGCAAACGCCAAGTCACACAGCCAGCTCTTGTTGCTCAGCTCAGGAAATTCGTCAGCCTTTCCCTGTAACTCCAAAAATGCACCAATCTCCTCTTTGAGCTCCCATACTCGTTGAAACACTTTGCCCAAACTTAACCAGCGGACTCGGGAGTGATAAAGCAGGTCCTGGTGATCCGCATCAGTTTCCTCCAGAAACGTAATGAACTGACGGTGCTGAAGTCCCCTTGCGCGAATAAAGTTGACGAGTTTCACGACAGGATTCACAACATGATTCAGCTGTAATACCGATTTACATAGAGATTCCTGGTGGATGATGCAGTGGAGAAAAGTAACATCCTGGTCAGGATTTTCATCTTTGACTTTATTCTGGATTCTCCTCAGCAGGCCAACGTTTTTCCCCGTTAAATTCGGAGATCCATCTGTGGTGACGTTGATAAGTTTACTCCAAGGGAGCTTCATATTTTCGATGACAGCAGACACCCGGTCAAACAAGTCTTCTCCCCGTGTTTGTCCTTTCAGAGACTCCATTGTCAAAAACTCCTCCGTTATTTCAAAAGTGTCGTTAATCCCTCGGATAAAAATGAGGAGCTGAGCAGTGTCTTTGACATCGTTGCTTTCATCCAGTGCTAATGAATATAACGTGAATGACTCCGCCTTTTTATTTAAGTTGCTGGTGATATCTTCATCTATTAGTTCCACACGGCGAGTCACTGTCCTGCGCGATAAACTGATTTTTTCAAATTTGTCTTTGCTCTCTGGGCACAAGACACTTGCTGTCTCCACCATACATTCTTTTAAAAACTCGCCTTCAGACAGAGGCTTGCTGGCCTTTGCCAGTTTGAATGAAAGCATAAAACTTGCCTTGGTACTTGACTCCTGAATGGCAGTTTGGCGGTAAAAAAAGTTTTGTTGAGCCTGTAAATTCGCCGCCAACTTCTGAGCAGTAGCTTCCCGTCCTTTCGTTGACAGCTTGCTAGCATAGTTAGCGTGCTTTGTAGTGAAGTGACGGCTAATATTATATTCTTTAAAAACCGCCACAGTTTCCTGACATATCAGGCATACAGCAGACGATCGGTGTTCAGCGAAAAAATATTTAGTTATCCACTCCTTCTTGAACACTCGACATTCTCTGTCCACTTTCCTTTTCCTAGGTCCGCTCATCTCTACAGAAGGACTGAGGGGTCAAAAAGCAAACATCGAGTACCGTAATATGCGGAACCTCAACAAAGTCAATGTAACTAGAGTGCGCCATCTAGTGGGAACACATTAGAATTGCAGAGTGCGCCATCTAATGGGAACACATTAGAATTGCAGGGAAAATAAAACATTAACAAAGTTTATTTATTTAATTTCTTCAAGTTCGGCGGGCCGGATTAAAACGTTTGGCGGGCCGCATGTGTCCCCCGGGCCGTAGTTTGCCCATGCCTGGGCTAGTCGGTGCTCAAGTCATTGAAAGGAAATTGTGCAGGACAGCTGTGTCTTTGTCAGTGGGTAAGTACCCACTTGATGGGTACTTAAGAATACAATGGAAAGTAGGTAGGGGTGTGACACATATTTGGTTTCTGTGGGAGGAAACAGAGTCGAGACTAAACTCTCCCTCTTGGGAGTCGAAATGGCTTGCGCTGTCTGCGCTCGCAGCAAGGCTTCTCACCAGGCACCCACCGGTATGCTGCAGCCTCTTCCTACACCCAGTCGGCCCTGGTCCCATGTGGCATTGGACTTTGTGTCCGGACTTCCCCCTTCTCAGGGTAACACTGTGATCCTAACGGTGGTGGACCGTTTCTGTAAGGGAGTTCACCAGGTGGCCCTGCCTAAACTTCCATCAGCCTCAGAGACTGCTGTGCTCCTCATGGCCTATGTGTGCCCTGCATGGCTTTCCCAAGGATATTTTCTCGAATCGAGGACCTCAATTCGTCTCCCGTGTATGGCAGGCATTTTGCAAGGGGTTGGGTGCTTCTGTTAGTCTCTAACGGGCAAACTGAGAGGATGAACCACAGAGTGGAATCCGACCTTCGTTGTGTGGCCGCGAAGAGGCCTGCCACCTGGAGCCGGTTTCTCCCCTGGGTTGAGTATGCAATCACTCCCTGGTCTATTCCACCACCGGACTCTCGCCCTTTGAGGTGTCTCTCGGTGACCAGCCACCCATCTTCTCGGCACAGGAGTCTGAAGTGGCAGTTCCTTCAGTGCAGAACCACCTGGACCGCTGTCGTTGTGTCTGGGAGGTCGCCCGAACTGCCCTGCTCCATGTGGCCGAACGTGCCAGTTGTGGTGCTAACCATCGTCGTTGTTCAGCACCGGCGTACCAACCTGAGCAGAAGGTGTGGCTGTACTCCAACGATCTTCCACTCTAGTCAGGTGTCAAGAAACTCAATCCCCGGTTTTTCGGGCCCTTTGAGATCCAAAGGGTGCTCGGTCCTGTCAGCAGTGCATCTGAAGCTCCCTCCCTCCATGAAGATCCATCCTGTTTTTCATGTGTCCCGGGTTAAATCAGTCTCCGTCAGCCACGATGCTTCCGACCCCGGCCCCGCCTTCCCGAGTTTGTGAATGAGCTCCCCCAGTGAAAGGTCCGTAAACTGATGGATGTCTCCAGCGCCGGTACTGTTAGGGAAGGGCCAGCCAAGCAGCCTCCTCAGCCAGGGCGCTCTGCACCTCACACCTGATGGTCATTATTCTGTTGGTTAGTGTTTGTGCCTTAGGGCCATGGATTTTTGTTTGTATTGCTTTCCTCCTTGTTTTTATGTCTGCCATGAATTTTTGTTTGTTACTTTGGATTATTGTTGTTTTCAGATCTTTGTTCTGCATTTAGTTTTCTCAGGGTTTTGTTCATACAGTCTGTCAAGTTCACCCTGCCTCTCCCTCCTGCCTGTTTTTTGGGGGTCCCCCCGTGCATGACACCATATAGATTAACTAAAAGAATAGGAATCCAGCATACAGAGTTAAATGGCATTTTATTTGCGTGATGTCTATTTTTCCACAGTCTACATAAATTACAACTGGTCAATTAACATGTTCTTGTACAGTATGCATACAATAATAATAGAAATGAATCACAATATATAAACAATTTAAATAGGCAGAATGTCAATCACATATTCAACTTTTGATTCAATGTTTTGGACATGCATTCAATATATAAAAATAGACCTTTGGTTAAATGTATTTACAGTTTTTATATAAATATGTTATAATTGTATTTTTAAAATACAAAGATAAATCCAGTGGAATGATGTACATTGTGTACCATCCAACAATTACAAAAATTTTTGGGATATTTAGCATTCAAATAAGAGTTAATACATTTGAAATGCAACTTTCATGACAATTACAGGTCTCTTGTTATTCATTTTTCAGCATTTTAATTTGTCAACAACTCACCCCCAATCTTTGTCTGAAGGTAAATGACAGATCAGATCAAACAGATATAAATAATATTCTCAATTATAATCCCCCCCAGCCCCCCCCCAAAAAAAAAAAACATGGGTCTAGCTCTGCCGGACATCCTGGAGAAGTTGATTGATCTCAGCGACTAACTCACTGGCATCCACCAGCTCACGGCGGCTGTCACTGCGTTTTCCCTGTAGATGGCTCAGTACAGAGTCAAAATCGTCCTCTTCATAGTTTTCTGGGATTTCCTCCATAGCAGGAAGCCATTTGGATGATGGGCCAGGAATGGGCACGGTTGTTGCCACTGAAGCCTGACAAGTTTGTTTCCCAGTGGGGCTGACTCTTGCTGTGAGCATGGAGCAGCTGTGTGATTTGGGGTTCTGACTGTTTTTGACTGCCTGTGAGTTACTGTGATTGCTGCTCTGGAAGCTGAGCTTGGTGCACGGTTTCAGGGTGTAGTAGCCTCCGCCCTGATGGTGACCAGATGGAATGATGCCATTTCCTGGATTCTGGAAGTGTGTATTGGCAGCCCAGGCTGCCACACCCTGCTGGTGGATGGAGGGGTTGGTCTTGCCTGGGAGATGATCCCTCTTTCGATCCAAAGATCCAGTCATTGATACGCCAATACCACTGAAACTCATCCCCTTCTGTTTCTCATTAACTTGGCCATATGAATCTAAGCTCTGGGGGAGCAGGCGCTGAAAAATACTGCTCATCTCAGAGAGCAAGGATGAAGCTCCACAAAGTTCTTCATCTGTAGCCTCATCCCCACCGTTAACGTCAACTTTCTCTTCCGCAATGCTCTCTCTGCCCGGGTTTTTTCCAAAGGTGGAGAAGCTTTGGTTCCGGCCAGATCCATTTTCAATGCATGGCTGTGGAGTGTTGTCCTGAGACTGGTCAGTGGGCTGGCAGGCTTCATCCCTGGGAATGTAGAGATTGCTTCGATAGTCGGAGGATGATGACTCTGGGGACTCAAGTGGGGGCATCCAGCACTGATCCGAATGACCCAGTACACGACACTCCTCTGTGCAGAGCCTCATAGCTGGAAAAAAAAGTGGGAATTTCTGGTAAGAAATCAGGAAATAGACCTATGTAGTTTACGTACTGTCGTGTCAGTAAGCAAAGTGTGTGATTATTTTAACATATGTCTCTCATGTGAAGTTTAGTGGCTATTCTTTCGGGAAAAAAAAAATTATGATATGATATCACTGTAGCGTGAACTTTTTACATTTTCCATAAATTTCACCTGAAAGCCAAATATCCCTAACTTTTAGTGAGTAGCGTATATTTGTGCACATTTTGAAGTTCTGATTAAAATGGCTAAATTTAATACAGTGACAACGAAATGGCGGTTAATATTAGTTATGGCTTTATATGAAGAAAAAAGTTACAGAGTCTGGAAATTCTGTGATTTCACCAGCTATTATTTTGCCTTTCTCTTTTCCCCTATTTTGCCATCAATATCTGTGGAAATCTGTTGTGAGTCATACATATCCTATTAAGAGGCAATCAGACAAGGCTGTCAATGGCCATTAGCCATTCAAAATAACATTTTTGGTGGCATTTCCCTTTCATGGTTCTCTTTTCAAAAATACATTTCACAGAAAATCTCAGAAGAATAAATTAGGCAAATCGAATAGGCCTTCTTAAAGCCGTCATTAGAAGCATACTCTTCTTACGTCTGCCATTGAGGGACTTCATTATCAGCTCATTACCATGAATGACACATTTATTATATATCTTAGAGAAGAACCGCACATGTGCTTGCAGTGGATAGGGAAGCTGCTGCATACAGTATGCTGAGCTGATAAAAGGGTCAAATGAAATGTTTAAACTCAAAGATTTAAGTGTTAAAATAAAATAAAATCATCATCGAAACCTGCTCATCCAAGTGTATGTTACCATAATTTAAAAACTGAAAGCTCGGGCTTTTGCATGTGTTTATTCTGAGCTTTTCTTCTATTAAATTAAATCGGAGGACATAATATTGTTTTTATCTCACAAGAAAGTATCTCCCTTTTGCTGTCTGAAACCCATTCAGAGTGTGAAACACTCCTGCGACTACAATGACAGCTCAAGTATAATTTTATTTAATTGCTATAACTTTTGACTGATTTTTTGAAATAAAATGAGCCATCATCATGATCATTTGAAAAACGACGTAATATTCCTGATTATCCGACAGTAAAGCTACTTGAAAATATACACATGCTTAGTTGAAACATTATTTCTGATTCAGTGGAAACCGTGTCCATAATGACAATGAAGTGACTGAATACTGCTCAAAATCATCCATGCAGGGGACAGAAGGGTGGAAGCCAGAGAGATTACATAGTGGAAGATAGGTTAGCTTTAATTATCGAAGAAAGGGTTCTGTCAGTCGTCATCTGTACCTGTGGGTAAAATACAAAAAACAAAAAAAAAAAACAAAACAAAAAAAAAACAAAGAAAAAAGGACGATTCGCTTCTCTCACAGAAGCTTCGTCAGCGGTAGACAACCCTGAAATCTCCGTGAAGACTCCGGGAAATTGCTCTGCGCTAAAAAGCTGAGCGTGGCCTATTTGAGGACTGGGTGGGGATGGTTCGTCACGCCCCTATGGTGAAGAGGCCCATTGATTTCTAAATTCCCTATCGTTGGGTCTTGATTAGGCCTATTGTTTGGGCTAGGGCTGAATAGCTACTTTCAGTTAGCCTGATCAGCATGTCTATGTCCCTTGGTGGTCAACAAGTTATTGTAAATAGGAGGCAGGTTAAATCTGATACCTCCTTCACGGTTCAGAGAGGGTGAAAATTTTTTTAACAAAAATCGCTTCCTTTACTCCCCTTTCAAACCATCTCTTTTCTGTTCCTAGGATTTTTACTTGTTCATCTTCAATTGTGTGGTTTGTTTCTTTTAAGTGTGCGTATACTGCACTTTTCTTGTCATTGTTTTTCCATTTGTGTTGATAAAGTCTTTTCTTGAGTGTTTGTTTGGTTTCTCCGATGTAATGTTCCTTGGAGTTGCAATACACAAATAAATTACCACAACAGGAGACGGGACAGAAAAAAAAGGCACTTGAAGTAGGGCTGGGCACTGAATCGAAATTTAATCGTGATTTCGACTTTGCTTTCTCACGATCAACCAAACATTATTATCAATGGAAAAGGATCATTGTGCCAAATGATGTGGTGTGTTTGCAAGTTCCCAAAATTCTGAAAACACCCCGAATGTTGCTTGTACAGTAAGCGTATGATGTAATGTGATTCTGCCTTGCGTTTTTTTTTTTATTCCTATCAATTTATATATATATATATGTCGCACAAGACTGCAGGTCCTGACATACCAACTTGTGCACAGCCTGGATTGATTACAAGAAAGCCTATGACTCAATGCCACATACATGGATCACTGAATGCTTGGAGTTGTATAAGGTGAACAGGACCCTAAGAGCCTTCGTTGCGAACACGATGAGGATGTGGAAAACCACACTTGAAGTCAATGGCAAGCCACTTACCCAAGTGTCCATCAAATGTGGAATATACCAAGGTGATGCACTCTCCCCACTGCTGTTCTGCATCGGACTGAACCCCCTAAGCCAAGTAATCACCAAGACAGGCTATGGATACCGCCTCAGAAATGGAGCTGCGATCAGTCACCTCCTCGACATGGATGACATAAAGCTGTATGCTAAAAGCGAAAGGGACATAGACTCCCTGATCCACACAACCAGGATCTACAGCAGCGACATCGGGATGTCATTCGGGCTTGAGAAATGGAGTCAGATGGTGACTAAGAGAGGAAAGGTAGTCCACACTGAAGGAGTCTCACTCCCTGAAGGAACAATAGCAGATATTGAGGACAGGTACAAGTACCTTGGTATACCACAAGCCAGTGGCAACCTCGAACTGGCAACAAGGAAAGCGGCTACGGCCAAATACCTC